GGGAGCTGAATTTAAATTTGCGGGGTCACACGTAGGTAGGGAACGTCCCCCTAAATTTTCAGCTTCCTAGCTTATGTGGTTCCCGAGTTGAAAGTTGCGGACACACACACACACACGACACACACACACAGACGACCCCGTAACAATATGCGTTTTGTACTGCTGTTACACAGCACAAAACGCATAAAAAAGCAGCAAACTACAGGATTCAAAATTTAAGATGCTTCAAAAGTGTATCGATATCCAGACAATCTTTATAGCAAAGCTCTTAATGCACCACGTATTGCTGAAAAGCAAAATCATACTTGAACCATGTGGAATCAGCCACACTTTCTGCAGAGTTCCAACAAAAAACACGTGGTTTCGGTCTATTGATATCGTAGACACATGCCGTATAATCCTGGGATCGCCCTCTAAACCGTATGTATTAGTACAGACAATGGCACTCAACGGTAACGAAGTAGGCCAAATATACTGTTTTATTAACAAACACTGGTACTTTTCATTCTCCCCTTTTCTCATTCCCCCTCCTCTTCTCTGATTTTTTCCCAATAATAAGAGTCTGGACCATGAAAAAGACAACAAACCCTTCAAAACATGCAGCAAGATGCTCCTCTGTTACTGGACTGTAATTGAGAAATATGACGGGCTTGGGAATATCACTGATAAGTTCAGCAGAATTCTTCAAATGCCTGAAATGAGCAGTAACAGAGCAGCACACATATTAGGGCAAATTGTGGGATAAATCCATTCGTTTTAAAACATTTGAGCCAAATTTAAAGGAGCGCCTTGGCAAATAAAATGATGTTCAAAATTAGTCGGATATGCGAGACGACAAATAACAGCAGCTTTTTATCATTAGCGAAAATGTACAACAAATGATGCTACTTACCGAGCAGATTACCCAGAACTTAAGGTTAACCTTCAAAAAAGGTCGATCTCTTTCCAGCAACACAAGGCAGAAACAAACATTACTTTCTCATCACTGCAGAACGACAAATATGCTTTAAAATGAAAAAAAAAAAAAAGAAAAAAAAAATGAAGACATTACTTTATATCGGGATCTGCAACTGCCTTGGATAGACGCACTTTGCCAGATATGTATCCCAGTGCCAGTGCTCCGTCATTAAGAGCACTTAGGTCAAACGAACGGAGAACATCCTGAAAAGAAGAGCCGTTCCGCATCTACCTCAGGTTTGCTATCGATCGACAATGGTTCACTTACAGAAATGCTGAACTGATATTCCTCAGATAAGAGATGCGTTTTTTTCTTCCAAACTGAGTGTTTCTTTTTTTTTTTAAGTCCTGAGTATCTAATGGGAAATTTAAGCCAGAAAAGAAATATCGATAGTGCACCCTTCGAGATGCCAACTAATCCAAATCCTATTCGATAAAATGCACACAGTTTCGCACAG